CACACACACACACATGGAAACAACTTCTCAATACTTAGGAGCCCTAAACGTAGCTATACGTTCAAATGTGGATATAATTGGATATACATATGATTAAGCAAGCAATAAGCAAATAGTTGTCGTACGTATGTGTATATATATATACATATATATATATATATACATACATATATATATATATATATATACATATATATACATATATATACATATATATACATATATCTATATACATATATACATACATACATACATACATACATACATACATACATACATACATACATATATATATATATGAATGATGTAGGTGCGTATGTTCTTAACGTAGTCATAGCGATTCTTATGATGCTTCCAGGAGCCTCGGAGTTGGTTCTAGCGGGTCTAGCCACGCAGAAAGCTATGGATGTCTAGTTGTACTTGAGAAGCCTACCCCCGTGTGGGACTTTCCGAAAATTGGGGGTACCTTATTTTGGGGGTCATTATAACAGGGATCCTACTATTTAGGGTACCATATCAGGGTCCCCTATTTTCGGAAACTCTTGTGTTAACGGCTCAGCATTCTCCAACGCAAGACAGCCGAATCCATGTCTTGTTAGCACACGTACTGGCCCAGTACCCCTCCTATTCTTCACCCTCAAGCCTTGAACCCTGGTGCGAGCGTGAGAGTCCACATCAGTTCCACATCTTCCCTCGGTTTGGGTGTAGTCGGACAACGGCCGTTAAGCACCAACGACCTCACCCGCTTGGGCCGCGTGTGTGAGCGCAATATCCATCATGTCAATAATGGGCATGCATCAGTCGCACTTTTGCCTTGCATGAGGCCAGGACCGACAGATAAGAACTGGGATTCCAGCAGAAGCCTGATTACAATCAATCCACTTGGTCTGCAACCGCTCAGGCCCATCACAGAGGCCCCGGAGGTTAAGCCAGATGACGAGGTGCCGGACATTGTAAGGGTTGAATGAAGGCAGAGGTTCAAGTTTGAATCGGCTGTCGCGCTCACCCCTAAAACCTGCGATATCTCCGAAATATATGGCTTGAATTTCTTAACCTGCAAACTTTTTCGGGGATGGCTGCTGCCTCGGACGAGGTTCAACAAACGGAAGGGGCGGCGGCGGGGGGCGCAGATGAATCCCGACTGACGCCATGTACGCCCTGGCCTGAAACCCCAAATCGCTACAATCCGTGCCTGCTTCGTGCGAGTGTGCGAGTCGAAATCTGCCAAACTCAAACTGAACTCTGTACCGCAGCATTAACCCCCAAACCCCCCAAGCAGCGAAGAGCTTGAAACCAGAAGCCATCAGCTTTCAAAGGCTCAGCGACGTCAATTCGCCCAATATGTGCGCCTTGTTTGCTGCCAGGACAGCGTCGTGATGCCACAGGAGCTGCCAGCAACCAAAAAAGTTCGCACAATTAGTGGACGGAATGCGACTTGCCTTGTCATGGAACGTTTTGGGACCTACAATTTATGTGTGGTAGCAAGCCTGTTACAAGTGCTTCACTGTAGAGCCGAAGGAGAACAATGATGGGCTGAGGATGTTGCTATTTGCCATGCCCTCTCAGGTCCCGATCAAGCCAGCTCGGCCGACATTCACACCGCAATTGTTCAAGCAGCTTGCTGGAAAGCATGGTTTCACAAGTCGGTCCGAAAGTGGCAAGCGGTTTACATGATGCTGGCACTTTTGATGCTAGAATGTTTCAGGTGGCGATTGTTCCCTTGTAGAATTTAGTTGTAGAAGCAAAGAATCCGCAATTCACAATTCTACCACTGGCTGTTAGAACAGCTTCTTTGCTGTTGAGTGTTCTTCGGGTACTGTCGATCAGACATGAAGCCACTATGAACTCGGTAGTGAGGCTCGTTGCATGATCTTCTGGCTGTATTGTTATTTAATTTGGCGTAGTTTAGCTTTAGTCCTGGATGTGCAGTGGAAGTGCCAGTCATGATGATTCCCCTTATCCCCCTCCCTGCACAGCGTTGAACATAGACAGCCGTAGGCAAGCCAGTTCGTTCATCACGGCGTCATCGATGCGATGACCATGGTTTGCACAGTCTATAGACGTGCGTATGTACCTATATATTTATATATGTTCAGGTGTATATAAATAGATATGTATATTCGCACACACACACACACACTCGCATATATATATATATATATATGTGTGTGTGTGTGTGTGTATATATATACACACATGTGCAACTGCAGGCGTGCTTCCCCGATGCTTCTTTTCAATTCCGCATCATACACGCCGTGCATATCTGACATGAGCACACGCGCACGCGCGGCCATTCCTGCGATTTCAATGCAAAGGTCTCGATGCCAAATTCTCCTGCTAGAACATGGTACTTAGCAGAATGCTTGCGCGAATTGAATGCATGGAAAAAAAACTGCCGTCACGTCCTCGTGCCGACAGATCGTACATAACACCATGTTGCTCAAGATGCACAAAGATGCACGTTCGCCCGTGGTGCTCTGATCTCGAGAACGTCGAAACAAGCCCGTACCAATGCAAGGACCTTTTCGCAGACGGAGCTGAAACTGCGGCGCGATGCGCAGAAGGAGTCAAAGCGTCACTCAATGCAGACAAGGCTGGTCGCCTGCCCTGCGAGACTTATGTATCAAAGTGTGGAGTACAGCAATTGTGCAGACTGATGCAAACCGCCTGTCGTAAAGTCGCGCAGTGGAGCCGCAAGCAGCGGCTCATGCGACTCAACTCTGACATCCTCGCCGAAACATAGTGCCCAGAGTGCTAAGTGGCTGCGTCACAATAGCAATGTTAGAGCCAATATCTATTGACATATATTGTTCTTCGAGGGTGGACAAGGGAGATGCAGCAGTAGACTGGGCCAGAGCTTCAGCACAGGGATCATTCTATCCGGGGTTGGCTGGATCCTTTCCCGTCAGAGCAGCCGGTGGTCTGTTGTGTCGTTGTCCTCCTCTAATTCTGGCCGTAATCCTGTTCTTTGTGCCAGGTTTCTATCCTCTGAGATGCAGTCAGGGCATGTTGGAATGGACAATGTCAAGAGTTCATTTTCAAGTCACATTCCTAAGCCCCAAACTACAGCCGAAAACCATGCGGCTTGACCCAACATCAGAGAAGGTCAGAGAGCATCCCCACTGAGCTGCTTGAGAGCCACGCGGCACAAGAGGGGCTTGGCGGCTGAGACATTGCTATCTGGGCTATAAGCAAGGTTTCTCTTGAAGCAGGTATCAGAAAGTTGCTTCGATGCGCAACGAAAGGCTTGTAGGGCTGCTGACGCATTCCGGTGGATTCCGGGATGCGGGCACCCATGTCAGCACACGAACGCGCAACACGAAAGTGCCACCCCTGCTAGGGCTTCCAGGTTCTATTAGCTCGAGCTGCGTTTCGCATGGCACAGTCCAACTGTGCGTGCCGAAGCCCTCCGTACCTCTTAGATTACCGTCCAGTCAGCCCCCGCACGGGCCTGTCTGCATAAGTCCTAGGTCCTAGACAGCTCAAGTCCTGAAACTCTGACTCGATTCCTCGGGGCCTAGAGCCGGCACAGTTTCAGAAGATGGGCGATATACATCTTGCGACGAAACTAATCTTTACTGTAGTCCTTCTTTGCCCCTGAACCCTAGGGAAACCCACCTCCCAGCCTAAACCTCCCAGTGCCAGGCCGCTTGGTGAGGTGTGTCAAGGCACCGGCTTTCGACGTCTTCTTCACAGCGGTAGTCCTTTGGCCCCTGTTGGATCTTTCTTGGACATAAGGCTGATTGGGGTTTGGGGAGTGTAGAGAAATGCAGGCAAGTAGGGACATGTGGGAAACAGCCCGCGTGGATTTGTCGAACCTTCACGAAAGAATTGCTCAACTTTCAGCAACAAGAAGTTGATGTTCGATTTTGGCATCAGCCCACCTGGCCCTACGGGCTTGTGGAGCTGTCTGGTTCTGGGTGTACAAGCGACACAGTACGCCGGTGCGATAACGCATGGCGGCATTGTGCCCAATATAATGTGCCATCTGCCATATGTCCGTTACATACATGATTAATACATGTGTGTGTGCGCGCTTGATTTTCACAACAGCGTACATGTATAATATGTGCACAAAACTGATTCGGACAAACTGCCATGGGTATCATGGAACCAACAGTGCGCGCTCGGGCGCCAATGCGAGCCAAAAGATCCCAGGTGTACTCAATATGGGGGTTTCCGGAAATTAGGGGTACAGTGACGGCGTTGGATAAGAAACTATTGTATCCGAGGCAGGGTACCCTGAATTTCTTATTTAGATAGCGCTCGGTTCAGGGTCATAAGTGATAACCGCCGGGTTTAGGGTACCCTTAATTTC